GACAGCTCTGACAGCGATCTCCCTTCGCTCCGAGGGACAATCACAATGGGTTTTACGGAGCTGATGAAAACACCGCCATCCCCCGAGAGTGCCTGGCACGGGTCCCCTCCAGAGGCAGCCGTGACAAAGAGCGATCCTGTCCAAAGGGGCTCAGCGTGCGCCCACCCGGGGCTTGGCAGGCGGCTCTGGGCACCTTCTCCGGATACCATTTGTGAGACAGAGCCCGTGATGGCAGGGACCGCACACGGACAGGCACACGGACAGGAGGACAGGCAGGACAGGCAGGAGGGGCTGCTCCCGCTGCGAGCCCGACCCGACACAGGAACCGCCTCCCGAGCCATCTGCCGGGCCAGAGCCGGGCAACCACTGCTGGGACTGGGCAACCACACTGCCTAACTTTACCCTGCTTTCCTGGCAATCCCGAGGCTCTGGGTTTGCACTGAGCTGTGTCACCTCATAACTCATTCACAGGAGAAGTGGGCTTTGCCTGGCCTCGTATGGAGCTGCTGACTGAGGCACTGACAGGAGTGGGGAGTTACTCACAAACGTGGGCAGCTCCACGAGAAAGCAAACACCAGCTGGCATCAAAAACCAGCATGAAGAAATTCAGTCAGCAGACCACAAACTGATCCACAGCACACCCAGCCTGACTTCTTACTGTGCAATACAACAAAACAACCCAGCTTACAAAACAGCTGTGCCTTAGGAAAGCTTTGGGGACAGAAGGAAGGTGTTTACACCAGAGCTGTGCAAGCAGAGCCGAAATGAGCCCAAGGGAGCTCAGATCCTGACTGAGCAAAAGCTCTCRCCAGGGAAACACTGGAGGGGGAACGGGGAAACACTTCCAGCTCGGTTAGCCCAGACTGGAGTGAAAGGCAGGCTCAGACCTGGCTGAGCTTCAGCTCTAACCTGAGCTCAAAACACACCCGGCTGCATGGGCGCACTGCTGGGTCAGAGCTGGAACTGAAGCCACCCTTGGGGTGTTTCACAGACCTGCCTTCRGAAGCCATAACGCTTCCAGTAGCACTCACAAACTGATATTCTGTCCAAACTTTCACTTCTCATCTCACCTGAGACATCATCAGGCAGCTTTGGAAAAGGATTCCTATGATAGGTWTGATGGCTGATATTTCACAGATTTCAGTTCTTGCCACATCTCCCCTTCTTTTTCCTCTTGCTTCATACATCTAGCAGAAGTAATTTCCACTTGATTGTGGGTAACAAACAGCAAAGAATGAAGGAGCTGCTGCTCCCATCACCAGATCAGATCACGGGCCTGACTTCCAACCAGCAGTGCCCACAAACACTTTTCTGCCACCTCTTCTGCAGCCCTGCCCCAGGGATGTTGTGACACCTCTGTCCCCACGCCAGAACATCCTCTCAGATTTCCCTGGTGTGAGCCCACACCAGCACCCACACAAGTTCTTCAGCATCAAAACACTTCTCCCATGTCTCCATCACTTACTTCAGAAACAGACACTTTTGGATTCTGGCACAAAACATAACCAGGGAATTTGAAGCTCTCAAAGCCAGACTGAGCCCCCRCTGTGATTTTTTAATGCATCTGAGKGAACAGTGCATATTAACGTGCTAATACAAACTGAACAAAAAATTAATAGAGATWAAGGAGAAAAAAACTAACTTAGAAGAAGTCTATTAGATAAACTGAATATATTCAGAAAAAATTGATTCTTAAACAAAACCTGCTACGATAGCACACTACTTCTATAATTTTAGAGTAAATATATATTTAATCAGAGCAATCTGTGTTAGTCTGGTATATTAAGGCATGCATTAATTGCGAATTTGGAGTGCAGCAACAACACTTGCAGTTTCCAGTGTCTGTCAAAATAGTATTTTTGGACACAAATTCAAAGCACCAAGAATCKTAAAACAAAGAGGTGAATGAATAAATACCTGCAGAATAAATGCTAGAAGAGCAAATTCGATACTATAGCAACACRGAAATGTCTTCATAATTTCACATTAAAAAAAAAAAAATCAGAAATTCGGTCCATTTCAAACAAGTTTGGAACCCACCACCTGATGAGATTAAAGCCTCCCTTTTTATGTGAGCAGAGTTCATGAAGAAAAGGAAAGACACCTGGGGAAATATTTACATGACTGATATATATACTTGCATCAGGCATTAATACATAATGTTTTCTGATCTTCAGTGACACGATCTTTGAGGCAAAAAAACCAAGTCATCTGCAAACATGTCATGTCTTTGAAAACATAAATATTAATGCAGAATTCAGTGCATTTCAAAACTCATTGTTTTGATTGGAATGTGAGGAATGAGTGAGCCAGAAGTGAATTAAAGCCAATTATAGTAACTCACTGCTATAATGCTGTGGAAAAATGCAGACCATAGCTCTTGCTTGAGGTTGGAGACACAGAAGCAACTTCCACTGGCATTTTACAGCTGTAGCAATTTAGAAGAAACACAGAGGAACAGAAACTACTCTTCTTGGCAGAGTTAATGAAAGGCTGGTGTTTGTATTTGAGCAATTTTAAGAAGTTTTGTCTGTATTCTTCTATTCAAATCAAGTATGTTTAAAACCTGRGAGATCTTTTTAATTTTAAAGGCTTAGCATAATTATTATAAAGGAGSGTTACCTTTACTGAATCCTAACATGTTTGATTTTCATTAACAGACATCTGGGCAGTTAATGCTGCCTGGCTTTGAGAATGAAAGGTTAGCCTGGCTTCAGACATCTGGGCAGTTAATGCTGCCTGGCTTTGAGAATGAAAGGTTAGCCTGGCTT